TCTCTGTCCCTCTCAAAAATAAATAAACATTAAAAAATAAATAAATAAATAAAGCATAGGTTAATTTCGTACTTAATAGTGAATACAGAGTAATTTTTAAAAATAGGATTTGTTTCTGGGGCGCCTGGGTGGCTCAGTCAATTGAGCCTCCGACTTCGGCTTGGGTCATGATCTCATGGTCTGTGAGTTCAAGCCCCACATCGGGCTCTGTGCTGACAGCTCGGAGCCTGGAGCCTGTTTCAGATTTTGTGTCTCCTTCTCTCGCTGACCCTCCACCGTTCATGCTCTTTGTCTCAAAAATAAATAAACATTAAAAAAAAAAAGAAAGAAAAAAGGTTTTTTTGAGAGTGCACACATATGCACATGTGGGGGAGGGGCAGAGAGTAAAAGGGAGAGAGAGAGAATCCCTCTGTGGTATTAGCACTGGGCCCAATGTGGGGCTCAAGCTCACAAACCGTGGGATGGTGACCTGAGCCGAAATGAAGAGTGGGACGCTTTACCCACTGAGCCACCCAGGTGCCCCTGAAGGGTGACATATTTTAGATAGGATTGAGGGACTGGAGCCCTCTGAAGTCACAGGGATCCCATCCAATCAGCGACTTGTCTTTATCACCTGTTTATTCAGGCACATGATTACACAGCGAGGCGGATGGATCACAGCCAGAGTCCCTCTGCTGCCTGACACGTGAGAAGCGAGTGGCCCGCCCGGCCGGCACTTGGTGTGGAGCCGCCTGACGACACTGGTGACAGAGCAGCACCTGACAGTCTGGGCTCAGGGGTCTCCTCTTGCTCTCCACCACACAGCCTCGTCCTTGCAGGTAGTTCTAAGGCGGGACGAGCTGGATCCTTCCGGGTTGGGGAACGGGGAGCAAGTATAAAATTTATTTTGGCTCAAATACAGGACTGGCGTTTGCTCTTTGGAATACCTCCTATGCGACTTCTGTCATCGGAAAGCGAGGGATACGGTTCCCATCCCTATTCAATCGCTAAAGATCTGAGCCGGAGAGGCAGCGGGCAGCTGGTTGCCTCAAACGCCAGCTCCTCCCCCGATGTCCAATCGGACGCCTCCGTACCAGCCCGTGGTATTTTGCGCTCTAGCTTCTCCACAGAATCCTTGCTGGAATTCAGGCCGTGGGTCCCAGGGACACGACTCTAAGTGCTAATTCCACCTTTCACACTTCCAGAGCTGACTGTGACTTCCCAATTCCCAGCCCCCCTCCCCACCCCGGAGAACCACCAGTGACTTTGGCGGGGAGGGAGCGCGAGCACGTGCGGCCCTGGAACACTGTGGCCACCGGCTCGGCCACATCCTTTTGTGGTAATCGTCTTTGGCAAAACGGACTGTAAATGTATTTTTATAATCAGCTGGCTTCTAAATTACAGCCGTGTGGCGTAATGGCAGAGTAAACATATGATTAGTAATTTCCTTATGGCAGAAAGTAGAACGGTCTCGGGCTGAGTCTCTGGCGAAGGCCCAGGGCTTAAAAAGAATTGTTCTTTCAGTACAAGAGAGAAGAGAAAACTCTCTTTATTCCAAAGCCAAAGCAACGGGTCACGGCCTTCTTCCTGTGTAGAAACAGTTCTCCTTCCCGAGGAAGAGGGCAAGAGCAAGATGAACTTGGGAAAATACTCCAAGTGCTGTCTGCACGCTCAACCTCTGTCCCTGAAGTACCGCCTTCCCCATGGCAGCCATGGTTCCTGGCCTTCTAGAAACGACTGCTCCGGAGTTACAGAAATGCCATCCAACACGGACACACACAGACTACCATGGCTCCTTAAACACCCAAGATAAAAGATGCAGCATAATGCTTCTTGTTTTGTTACTGTTGTCTCTGCCCCATCCAACTTGTATACAAAAGAACTACGGTAGTTCTCCTAATTCGGGACTAAAACAATTCTCAGTGTGGACCAAAGGCCGTGTTGAGAAACACCTGGGCTGCTGCTGCTTCGGGTGAAGCTCAGAATGGGCATTTTCCCCAGGTCCTGCAACCATTTCTGACGCGTGCCGTGGACGCGGAAGTTCCCACCAAACAGGCAAAAAATTACTCATTAGGAACTGATCCCATCTGCGAGGGTTACCACACACCTGCACACCCATGAATCTTCCCGCCACAGGACTGGCAAGTTACAAACCAGAGCCCCAGAGCCCAGTACTCCACTTATGGGGTGGGGGGG